AATGTGTTACGTTACTTTTGCGTTACTTTTACAATCTGGACAGGGCTTGCTTTTTTGTTTTTAAAATAAAAAAGTTCTATTTTTGGCAAATATAAAAGCCTTTTCACACCAAAAGTGAAATGAATAAGCCTCGGGCTGAAGGGAAAGTAAATTTACGTCTGTACAGTAGAATGCAGAAGAAGAAATTTCAACACACTTCAGCAATAAAAAAAAGACACACAAATGTTTGTCTAGAGTAACTTTTGCTTATTAGTGTGGTTGAACTGGATCATCGAAGGTCAGAAGCAAAGACATTGTTTAATAGAATGGGATTAAATACATAAAGTATATTTGTGTTGTTTAACATTTAATTATTGCAGGTTTGCGTCATATTCTGAGTTGCATTATTTTTATTCATTTTGAGGAATACTGAATCTGTGTTTTTTTTTTTGTGAGTGAGATGAATTAATGCATATTCATATTTATTTTAGAACTACATTAACATCTTCTGATTTCTCTCAACATGGGGACAGGAGAGCTGTCAATCAATAACTTGGGAAAAAAAGTAACTCAGATATTCTCTTGTAAATTAAAAAGTAATGCGTTACTTTACTAGTTACTTGAAAAAAGTAATCTGATTACGTAACTCGCGTTACTTGTAATGCGTTACCCCCAACACTGGCTGTGCGTTTATGCCAAGCGTGTACATTCTCTCTATTTAAGGCTCTGCTTCAACATACAGTACCAATAAATTAAGTGTTCTTCAGTGAGGATTTACGCTTTGAGGAGAGCCTGGAGGTTGTTTGACATTTCAGGCTCTGACTCTTTATGTTGACACCGGACACCAATGAGGGTTTTGGTAATTAAGTGTGACATTTACAACATTCATCTGGTCATTACAGGATATTACAAGTGAGCGTTCAACCAGTGTTTTATGGTGTGTGTATTTCTACTACATATGTGTACGTGTGACTCAAAGAGACGCCACTGACCATGTTGTGAGATGTTTGAGAAGTCTGTGATGATTTTCGAAGGCTTCTTCCTCTTGTTGGTTGGAGCAGGTGTTCCAGAGACAGGCATCGCTGCAATCTGAGGGAGGAAATTAAATCTGAAATAAATTGGTAGGGAAAGATGGGAAAAGATGTCATGTGCATTTACTGATAAATTGTAATATATTTAGGTGTGAGTTTTGCATGATCATACATCACCCAAAATAATATTATAAGGAATCAGAATGATAAAAAATAAAAGGGTAAACCTAGCCTAAAATATATTAAATGCATCTGATATCATTTTTAATGATCTGTAAAATTTGTAATAATCTTATGATTTTCAAGTCTTATTTCTCAACTAATTCAAATAATTATTACATTAGATTAACTAAAAAGACTAACAACAACATGCCACTAGGGGCCTCCTGCCCCAATTCAGAGGGGCTTATTTTAGCCCAGGAGTCTCACTTTAACTTTTCACTTCAATATAAACGTATCAATCAATAATAATATTTATTACATAACATAAATGCTTTTAACCCTACATAACATAACTGTGGTGGAAGAGGGACATCTTGTGTCATATTCCCTATTCTCACACTACAATGTTTAGGTTTGTTTAATATTTTTTATTATCTTTAGATTTGTGTGTGTGTGTGTGTGTGTGTGTCTGTGTTTTATTTTTTTCTGTCTGTTTTTGACATCTAAAGTATTTAGATCAAGTAAAACCAGGAGGACATTAACAGCAACAGTTAGCTTTGTATTTTTCTAGAATGGCTTTCTATTCTTGATTTTTATTTTTTTTTTTGACTGAATATTTAAAGTGTCTCATTAATTCTAACATTTACAACATAAAATGCATATTTAAATTATGGTAAATTGGTAAAATTTTAAATTCCAACACAGACACCGGTCTCTTGTTGCAAAGTGGGGTATTTTTGTTTTAGCAAACTAAATAAATCCACCGTGTTCAACTGGTCAGCAAATTCTTCAAATGCCCTGCCGAAGCGTTGCAATGGTAAGCTTGAAGTAGTCTGAACGCCATATTGAACACATTTCTACATTTGAACTTACCAAAAAAGTAAACAAATGAATAATAATAATTCAGTAAGGACCTCAGAGTTAACTCATTAACAATGACATAAATTCATTTAAGTAGGAGAATGTGAGTTTTTTTTTTTATTTGTGTTTATATATAATTAATTTATCATTTTATATGTTTACGTGAAGACGACCCAGTGCTATGTCAGTGTTTATTAGATCTGTGTGATTTATGATATGCAGCTAGAGGCAGCTCTATCCAAGAACATCATATATTTTTACAGTTTGCAAACAATAAATCATCTCGACATACTCTAACCCCTCAGTACCAGCCTGTCCAGATTAAGAGCTCATTATAACATTTTATCACCTGCTTTTCTCCCTGTGCAATCAGGAAAGCCAAACAGCACAATGATTCCTCTTACCTGTGACCAAAGAATCGATGTTTCAGAAAACAAATCAAATCACAATTTGAATCAAAGGTTCCCTGGGGAACTGTTGAGGTTAATCCTGTTTCTTAGGGTTGGCTAGGATTCCACCAACTACTGCTCTCTTCAGCATCCCAGGAAGAGTGAAATCCTAGCAGCGGTTAGGAAAGGAGGTCTTTGGGGAGTGGGTGTAGTTCAGTGTGTTACAGACAGCACAGGGACAGACCGAGCTGATGGTGAGGAGATACTTTTCTTGCAGACAGTTTTTTGTCTAAATATAGAGCAACGAAGAGCAAGGCGTTTCCAGAGAGGACCAGTAAAAAGATGAATTAAGTCCCTATATCTTATTTCAGTCACTTACCCTCAGTGTTTTTCATATGTTTGTGATTGTGTATTGCCATTTTTAACCGAATACTGAATGACGTTCATAAACATGAAATGAACTGTTCTTGAACATTGCACTTTCAACTTATTTTTAAACATATTTGCGCAATTTAATTACATCTAACTTTGACTTTCACAAACGTTTAGGTAAAATATTGCAAATATTGTTCCCGTTCTGATTAAAATATTTCAGTAACATTGCAGCAGTTCGTATAATGTTTACTTTGTCAACAATATTTACCAATTTTGTACATTTATTGTAATATTTTATTGTGTATGTTGTAGGGGTTGCACTGACTAATCCACTAGTCGACTAGTCGACTTCAGTGCTCTGCCATGACGCTTTAAGCTTGACGTCGACTAGTCGCTGGTCCTATAGAGGGCGCAACAGGATAAGACATTTTTGAAGGACTTCCACATTTACGCTCTGTTTCCCAACAGTTCAAATGACAAATAAATGCATACTCTGAAAGCGCTCCACAATACTATCCGTAGTCATGATGTCAGTGGGTTTAAGAGGTTTGCATTGAAAGTCAAGAGCTCTGGTAGGCATGCTGGACCAACTGGGAGATAGCGGCAGAGTCGAGCTTCAGTGTGGCTCACATGTAACAAGGCTAAGGCCCCTTTAAGGCCCCTTGAATGTTAGCATCCCCACTCTTTTACACTTTGCAGACTGGCTTGAATACGAGCTGAAAATACAGGAGAGTGGTTTTGAGTTTCTTGGCGAAGACAGAAAGGAACGCCCTGACCAGAAGAGAGACAGGCGCAAAGACTTTAAGTCCACCAAGACAGCAGCTATATTTCACAGCGCAGACCCTGCTCCCAATACCACATCATATGTGCCTCGACTGGAACTGTGTGCAGCTCTTACAGGTGCACAATTAGCTTTCTTACTAGCTAAAGAGCTTACTCTGAACATTAAATCCTTTGTACTCTGGACTGATTGCACTACAGTTCTGACATGGATTCAGTCGGAATCCTGCCGTTACAAAGTATTCGTGGGCACCAGAATTGCCGAAATACAGGAACTTACAAGTGCACACACCTGGCGGTATGTGGAATCCATCAATAACCCAGCTGACTACATTACTCGTGGGGTGTTGTGCACAAGGTGTTTGTCACAGCTCCAGACTTATTTGTTCATTAATGACGTCATCAGCGACTAGTCGACTTCGACTCGACTTTCATCACATAAAAGTCGACTTCAAAAAATCGTTGTTCAACCCCTAGTATGTTGCACAGTAAGTGTTGTATCAAACTATTACACTATTTGTTTTATTTCAATGGAATTAATGGTTAAAATCATACCCTTTTGTTCTAAATTCATAAAATGGGATTGTTGCTATTGTGCTTCAATATATTTTTCGTGGTTCCCACTTTGAGAAGCAGACTTGTATATAGCCTATTTGACAGACAACCAGAATGAAGACATATTGCTTGAGATTATTTACAGTTTAGAGCCTGCAGTGTAAACTTTAATATGCACATGCAAAAAAGAGTTCCAGTCTATCACAGTGAATCCGCTGAATGTCAAACAAAAAAAACAAAAAAAATGTACCTCTTTTAAGGAAGAGCATACAACAGAACTTACTTGAAGCAACATTTCACAAATCGCAGGATCAGGAAATGCATATCAATGTGTTTTTCTTATAACCACATTGCTTAAAACAGTCTGTAGGCCTATTTAGTTGGTCCCGAACCGGACAGAGACCCTGAGAGGAGCACCTGCAGTACTGTGTATCACCAGCAGGGGCGTCAAAAGGGTGAAAGAATGTGGCTCATGACGGAAATACAGACTTGTGGCTAAAGTTAGCACCAGATATCTTGTGACATATGATGGTGGGGTATAGACCAGAGGGTCAGAAGGCAGTTCACCTTATGAGTGGAGGTAAGATTACACTGCCAAAGCTAAGCTGTGTAAAGTTATTCACAACAGTAGAACTTAAGTCCTACCTCTAAAAACCTACCTCTTGAATATAAGCATGACGATTAATTTTTACATACATATATATATATATATATATATATATATATACCGTATATATATATAATAAAGTTTTATATATATTTGTACATGATAAAAATAAAAGTTTTACTTGTTATGTGCACTCTTAGGCAAGTTGTGTAACCAGACAAGCCTTTCATTCAGTGTGGTAAACTCGAACTACTTAATTTTCAGTATTGCGCAACATCGCCACTCAGGGGGTGTTAGGTTTACTGCATGTCCTTCAGCATGACGTTGTAAAATTCCATAAAAGTAAATATATTATTTTATATGGAACTGTGAGCTCTAAAACAGTGGGCATGACCATTATATGATAGTCGCCATATTTATATGTGTAGATTATTCCAACATATACTTGAGAGTAGGGGCGTAGATTACGCGGGGGATGCGGGGGACTTTTTTATATCACGTAAATTCGTCCCCTGCACTTTTTCGGGCAAGTGTGTTCGCATAGAGGTTTTCAAGAGCCGGTGTGAATAAATATAGATTTAAATGCAAAGAGACAGTATAGTCTGTGCATGATCTGATGTTTTATTCGGACCCAGAATAAGGCGAGATGAACATCACAGAGCGCTAAACACTCCATGCAGGAGCTACGAACAACAAAGAAAATAGAATAATAAAAAACAAACATCATTTCTAAATTTATTTTCATTGCTCTACATTAAAATCATACAGTACAAATTCGTTCACATATTCCCAAAATCCAGTAATCCATTAGACTTTCCATTTTCTCACATTCAACCATTTGCATTGTACATAATTCCTCTTTAAACTTCAAATAGCCCAAAGCACTAAATGTAAATGTTTTAAAATAATTACAATGTTTTCCGAATATTTAACGCAAACATAACACATTTACTAAAGAATTAAAGCTTTAAAATTGCTGTGTAGATGCATGACATACATTCTGACAGTCCTATTAGAACACACTTATGAAAATTAATATTTTAGTGTATAACACTATCTAATTTCCCAAAAAAGTGAAAAAGGCAGTTTCCTCTCTATTTTTGCTTTTAAATTTTATATCAGTTTTATATCTTGCTTCATACCTCCCATATCCATACCTCCCACTTTCTACTTGACAACAAGGTACATTATAGCTTTACATCCGATCAACCTTCTTATCCTTAGTAGAGAAATGGTACCCACCATTTCATGTTGTTTCATCCCACCAAAGCCATAGGGTATTTTCTCATAAAAAGCAAAGCAAGAAAAGTTCAACAAGGCATACAATTTCACAAATGCAGTTGAACAGCTCACACAAGTGATTGAAATGGATGTCATACCTGTTTGGCAAAAGCATCATTCACAATGAGAGCAAGCACCAGGGAAAGTGGTCAGATGTCACATTCGCATAATATGTCATAAAGATAAAGCAGCGCTTTCAGAATTTGTCATCTAGTGTAGTTTTTTCAGCTGTCATATGAAAAAGCCCCAGCACAATTCCCTGCAGTGGAGTTCACATGCCTTTCTAAATGCTTAGTCAAAACCTCGGCATACGCAGCATTATGAGGATAAAATGAGCACATGCATCAAGCATACTGATCCTCGTCAAACAAGAAGCATAGGCTTTTGTGCAATGCTCTAGACAGACACAGGCCTACAGTCCAACCTCAAGAGATGTTTAGAGAGATAAAGAATGGATAACATCACAAGTAAAGGGCATGGCAGAGGCCAGAAGAGATAACAATTCAAGAGCAAGAGTAGAGCAAGGGGGTGGTTTGTACCATCTCTCCACTTGAGGATTTTTCTTTTTTTTCATTTCAAGCTGCTGTCACATTCTTTGTACACTTCTTTCATCTCTCTGTCACTGAGAATTTGATATAACTTGGGCAAATACATGTCTTGGAACATTCTATACCACTTGTACACAAATCTTCAATGATTCTGTGCTCCATCATCTTCTGTCACAGATGGATTCTGTAACATATATATAGTTTACTTACCCTTTATCACTCCATCCTTATGGCCCCAAGAGAAAAAAAATAGCAAAACAATTGATTATTATCACTTATTTTCATTGTGGCCTCAGTACATATAATGTCAAACCCGATTATTATTAGACATTAATGCCATTATTTTATTTAGTTGCTCTCACAAGTAATTACTCTGTGCAGTTCTTTCTGTGGGTTAAACATGTTGATTTGGTGTAAAATAAATGAGATGTGAATTGAAATAGAAACATGAATCATAGTACATAAATATCTCAACATTGTGAAGAAACTGAACAATACATATACAGATGTAGGCATCTATGATGTTGCTGCATACTCTATTTTTTAATAATTGTGACTGAAAATTGTGAACATGCAAAAAAAAAAATTATTTGACTGATGTTTTTTCTTATATTACTGTAGTCTAACAATTCATTTAGCAGAACAGAGCTCAAGTGCTCTTTCCCAGGGTGGTAATTACTGTCACAGTGGATTCTCAGTAACGTATGGAGCCAGGCCTCCACACATTTGGTTGCAGACCCATGCTTGACGTACTGAAGCGGGGTCTGGGTACCCGTAGGTTCTGGCTGCTCCCAGACCCTGAGGATTGCACACCAGCAGACAGGGGACTCAGCTCAGAGGCACTCTTAAACTGCTTGGCTGCTTGGAATGGGGTGTAGGCCTGCCCAGGAGTGGGTTGTGGGATGGGCACTGAATTGGTCACAGGGGCAGAGGATATTTTGGGGAGAGCAGGCAGGGCTGCTGTCGGGGTAGGGGGTGGTGGCGAGAATGGCGCTGCAGGTCTTGGAGCAACAGGAGGTGGGGAAGTGACATCACTGCGCCACATC